CAGAAAAGTACAAAAAAAGAATTATTTGTAATAATACCTCCACCTAAGTCAACCACTATTAACATTTTTGTGTTATCCTTTCATAGACAGATAGATAGATAGTAGATAGAAAGATACACATATATATGTGTCCAAAAATACAGATTTTATATAAAACAAGTTAATAATGTACAGACTTTAATATCCAGGCACTTTTTAAAAACTTGTATGTCAATCTTTTAGACCTCAAAACTTCACCTATACCTGTTCTCACATTATTAAAATGTAATAGCAAAATAAACCTGGCCAGTTATACAAAAGATCGGAGGGCTACGATAACATGCAAATATAGCCTTACTCATATCAATGTGTGAAAGCCAGACAGACCACGCAGTTCAGAAAAGGAAGTACACTCTGCAAAGCTAACTTGCACATTCACTGTCCGAGTCACAGCATCTTCGGGGTCACTGTGTGCCAGCCGCATCAACTCTTTTCAATCAAAATGGTAAGTGATAGATTTTGTGACTCTTCTTGGTCTCCTGCCAAACACACTAATCTTCTCTACATAGAGCAAAGAGGAGCTGGGGGTGCTTCACAGCCGGGTCCTCAAAGCCTTTGGAATTGTGCTTGTCCCATGGTAAACGTGAAGTTGCTGAGTCTTTATTCTGCCAGTTGAGAGACTGTGGCTTCAGGAGTTCCCTTTTCTGATTCTAGCCTTCAGAATAGAGGAAGAGCTATTTCTTACAGAAAAAAAAAAAAAAAGTTGCGTTCTTTGCCATTGTCTCTTAAGATAGCTGGGTGCCAGAAACAGTAATACAGTCGAGTTTCCTGCTATGAGAACTTTGGATCCCAGAAGAGGACTCCGGTGGCACATGTTGGAAAACATTGCTGCTGCTGACTGCCATTTCAATAATATAGCAGATTTTATAAAAGGAGTTCTTTTGTTCGAAAAAAGCATTTCATTATTTTAATTATGAGAACCAAACAGTCCAAACATTAGGGACAAGTTGTGTTCCTAAAGTTAATTGGAAGTCATCATTTGGAGCACACTTACAATAGTGAGTGGGTTCCCATCACTGGTTTAACCGATGATGGAGCTGAACTACAGCATTAATATTCTGCATCAGAGTTTCCCATTATTTCTCTGTAAAAATATAAACTTGGCTCCCAAAATATATGTGGCATTCTTATGCTCCCTGAGTCTAGAGGAGAGCCAATTTTCTACTCCACCATCTTTATCCTCCACTCCCTAACCCCCGGAAGACTGGAAATTCCTTATCCCTTCTCTTATTATGGAAAGGATTACTACCTTGTGTCAGCCCCAGTGAGAAGAGAGAGATTGAGACAATGACTCTGATACTTGCTCGGTTGGCGGTGGGAGTGCACTGCAGACATTGGAATAGGGAGGGCAAAGGGATTACACGTGTGTCTATGTGCAGTGTGTCCTCTGGAAGCTCCTTGAGCCTGAAGGGGAAAGCATAGAAGTGAGGGAGTGTAATCTTGTCATGGTGGGAGGGAAAGGGAAGAGAGCTGGTGTCTGAGTGGAGTCACAGAGCTTTGGGAAGGGGAGCACATGGTGGTAGAGGAAATGGTAGCACATGACCCTTCTGTGGCCATACCTAGAAAAAGCAGTCACCTGTCCAGGGGGTACTTATTAATCCCTCTAGTGTTTCCAAACTGGGTCTTCAGGTCCAGGATTCTTAGAAAACAGCTTAACCCTAATTAGTGACATCCTCTTAAAAAGCAAACAAGGGCACTGTGGTTTACTAAGAGCTATTTGGATTGTCTTAGGAGAAAGAAGATGATAGCAGGAAAAAAAAAAGGAAATTTTAACTGGATAGCATGTATTTGGTGTAATATATGACTAATGTTTTCCTTAAAAGATTATTGTTTTTCTTATTGTAAAAGTAACACATATTATTCAAAAAACTTCTTAGAAATGTAGATATGCAGAAAAAATAAACATTTCTATAATCCTATCATCTAAGAGACAATCA